AGAAGAGTTTATCTTAGAGAAAAGAAGATCCCATGGTTCTTGCCACATATCTCTGAGTGAATCACCAACCATTCTAGCTCACTAAAGAGGTCAACTGATGATTTTTTCCTATCTGCAAATGCTCTGAACTCCAGCTGCAGTCTGAAAAAACAGGCACTGTTCTTTCTTTCGGTTGCACTCATGTGCTAATAAAGACTCTGCAGTCAGATTTTTATCTGACAAGATGATTAATTGCTTTGTTGCATGAGGGCAAGTAAAATTCAGGTCCATCTTCCTTCCATCCCTGCATTTAGCTTTCCAGGTAGTAAAGGTTTTTCTTTTTTAAAAACAAAAACAAAAACTTGACTTCTGCAGCTTCGACTTGAAATTGCGTCTTTTGAATAAGTGAGTCCCGTTTTTCCAGCTTATTTCTGTACGTTAGCTACCTTTTTGTAAGAAAACTTAGATCAGCCTCATTAATGATAACATGTGAGTCAGAGACCTGTAAGAGACTAGAAGTGTGATAGCTGCTCTACAACCACAGGCATCCAGCTAGTATTATTTATGTACCGTCAACAATGGGACATGCTCAGACTTGAAGGACTAGTGCTGACCTTCCCTTGCTAATCATTTATACACTCCTTGTTTTGAGTGCTCCACCTTAAGGTTTCTCATGAGTCACTTTCTCTCTGGAGTGAACAAATAGATCCTGAAGAACTCTGTGCACTTCAAGTGTGCAACCTGTCCCCTCATATCGGCATTGTTTGCAGCAACAGAAGCTCTCTAAGTAGCAGTGCTGTTTATTGTGGTCTGATCTCAGAGCTGGAGGACCTGCAGAGAGCTGAGAGGATGGTGGTGCTCAGGTTGTTTTGGGCCTCTCTGAATGCCAGCCCAGCAGACTCATGGGTGCTGGGAGGGAGGGAGGGGTATGGCTCCTTTGCAGTCTCTGGAGACAGTGAAATTGGGTATTCACAGTTCCCCCTCCAAAAAGGGAACCTCAGACGTTCAAATAGATACTTTGACCACAGTCAAAGCTTATTGAAGAAAAATCAAACCCAATTCTATCTCATGAAGATATGTGTGTGTATGTATATATATATATACATACATACACATACACACACATAGAGACACACATGCATTTTTTTAAAGTCATTTTTGCTGACTGTACATGACTGAAAGAGCTTAAGCTGACTTGCTAAATGAGCACTTGCAGGCATTTTTTTTATTTGAAGAGAACAATTGATTGTGGATGCATCTATTTCTGGGTTGTCCAGAGCAAAAGACCTCATGCTGGACACTCAGATGCAGAAGGTGCTGCTGATAACCCTTATCCTCTCTGTATTGTTGGATCCATCTGCTAAGTGAGGATCCTCGTGCTGGCATCTCTGCTTCCCTTGCACTGCTTCTAGGAGAAATAAGCAGTAAGTGGTTGTAAATGCTTTGAACATACGAAGGGTATACAAGGGTGAGTATTATGAATAGTATGACTATATTATGGAATACAAGAATGATGAAAGTGCACTGATACTACCATTTATTAGGCATGCAGCAGTTCTTAAACGGGTTGAAGAAGCTTAGGGGAGGAGGCAGAGGTTAAAGGAGAGGGCGTAAGTACAAGATGATGCGAAGAAATGCCATCTCGCCTTTGTCCCTTCTTTACATACCTCTTCTCCGAGGAGGAGTTGCAGGGAAGCAGCGTGGGAGGGTAAGAGGTCCCAACTAGAGGATTTGTGGGCTTGGCTGCATGGGGCCAAGCTTGGCTTGGCTTTGGAAAGGAGGGAGGCTTGATCTCAAATGCTAAGAGAACTGCTGCTCTAATGGTCTCTGATCTAGATCTAATGGGATGTAGCTTCACCACAGCAGTCCCAGGGGAGCAGTGTTCGAAGCAGGACACCATGGGTTGGTCCAGCATGAGGGAGTAACTTAAACTGCAGGGTTTCAATGCAGAGGAGGATGTGGTTCTTCTAATTCCTTCCCTGTCTCCCATTGTTTCCTCCAAGGCGCACACAAAATCTTCCTCTGCTCCTCCCACCCAGCTCAGCTTTTCTCCTCTCTTTAGCTGGGCTTTTATCCTTCCCCTCTTGTAAAGCCAAGTGCTCACCAGTATATACCCACACCCACTGCAGCGGGGAGTTTCACATATTGAGTTAAATTTGCCTCCTTTTGGCTATTTCTCCTTATCTGGGACCCATATGTCAAGCAAAACAGTTGCAAATGGAGTTCATTCATTATAAGCAAAGTGCTTCTGCATGGGGTGGAAGAAGGGAGGGGGCAGAAATGGGCTCCGCAGAAAAGGTGATATTTCACTGCTGTGCCCTCTGGTTATTGTGATGGGTTTGTTCTCATGAATTTACAGAGCCCTGGCACACCACAGCTCCCATAACTGGGAGCCCAGGTTATGGCTCTCCTCCCTACCCAACAAGAAGAGGCCAGGAAGGTTAGGGAGTCATAGGCACACAGGCAGGGACATAAGGGACATGACCTGTCCTGCTATTAGCTTTTAGAGCCAAATTCTCCCTGGCTTCAGAGGACATTTTATGTGTATTTGGAACTGCAGCAAGGTCAGGGTTAGATTGCTTCACATCACCAAAATATGAATTCATACATTCGTCCCAGAGCAAGGCTTGAACTTATTGTCTTGTGCAACAGGAAAATATGGAATAATATTAAAGCTGGGAAGCCAGAGCGCTCTGTGACATCTAGGGAGAGAGTGCCCTGACGACCTGACTGGACAGGCATGCTGAACACGGCTAGAGATTAATTTTTTTTTTTTTTCTGTTACCATCAGCATGATCTTAAAGCTTTTCTTTGCATGCTAAAGATGCCACCTTTGACACTGAGAGGTGCAGTGCAGCAGAGCTACATCTTTTAATGGAAGTTCCCAGGCTACATGCCAGTACTCTGCAAACAGATAAATTTATGATCTTTCAGGTACAAACAGACGTGATTTGTGATCCAGAGGAGGATGTGGTTCTTTCCATTCCTTCTCCCTGTCCCCTTCTAGCCCTCCAAAGCACACATAAGCACAGCCCAATAATGTGATCTTCCCAGGGCTGGTAAATAATATTCCTATGCTAAATTACTTGAGTATCTTTAGAAAAAAATTGTAAAATCCCCACAAGCACAGGCTATTAATCATTCTGTAAAATATAAGGCTAGCTGCATGGGTATAATTCAAGAAGTCCAGCACCTGTAAGGTTCATCTCAAATCTCTGCTACTAAATCTGTGCTCTTTTGTCAAACACTGCAGTTTATTATCTTGTTAACATAGAACAGTTTGTAAACTGGGAAGAATGCCTCTCTCAGAACTTGAAATGTATTTTTGCACACTCATCTTGCACCAAAATGACATCATTCACACTGAAAACAGCCCTGATTTTAAGTTCTTGTACGGTGCTGAAAAAATACCTGAATGACTCCCCATTAGTTTAAGCTCGCATTGGGTACAGCTCTGCAGACAGGTGCAGACAGCCTTGAAGTTGCTTGGCCCATGCACTAAGACGTTTGGACACATGCCGGTTGCATAGCCGTGTTACATCGCACTGTGCCCGAGCCTTGCCATATACACTTAGTAAGACCAGGCAATTGCAGAACAACATTGTTTAGAAACCTCCTTGGGTTTGACAGTGAAGAGCATGAATGCTCTGTGGTCTTGTGGTGCAAGTGACAATATGACCAAGCTCACGTGTACAAAGCCAGCTGCCATCCATGTTGCAATACAAAAAATAAAAAATAAAGGCACATTATGCCCAGCAGGAGCCCCAAGGTGTGCTGGGAACAGGTGTGCCGAACTCAAGGATTTATAATGAAGAAGCAATTCATCGCCCTGTTTTTTGACTGTTTTCTGTCAGCCAGCTCAGAGAGAAGTATTTGTGACGTTCTGGTTGGTCCAATAGTTCGCTGAATTATCTATCATCTGGGACTGCGAACAAGAGAGAGCTTTCTGTATGAGTTTGGTACTATCATTTTGATTTTTTCCCCTGTAGTAATCATATAATGTATGTGTATCTGGGAGGAAGAGAAAGAGAGATGCAAAAAGTGTTGTACACTCAAAAAATTTGAGGAAGTCTTGTGCTGAGCTATTTCTCTACCTACCTGGTAGCATACTGCATGTTTTTGTTCACCTCCTCTGTTCAAGGATCTTAAAATGCCTTGTAGACCAAATTTTGGGGGAGGAGTAATATTTTTATTAGCCCAGCTGGTAAGTAAGCAACCTGATAAACAAACATACTTGTTTTAGGGTACAGAGGTGCTTTTTCCATTCTAAAGTAATCTACTCTAGAAGCAGCAGTCTTCAAAGCAAAATGGGGACTAAGAAATGCTCTGAGTTTGGGTAAGCAGTGCGATGTCCTTTGCTTCTGACAACCTGCTGGGGAGGCAGCTGTTTTATACAGATGTTACAGGGAGGCACCTGGAGCACTGACAGGTAAACAGGCTTTCTCAAGGCTACGCACCAATTTTGTGAGATTGAGAAAGTCAAGGGCTCCTCGGCGTTGCTAGGTCCCCAGAACCTCATTTTTTTCTTGTTGTGGCCAGTGTTGTCTCAGGAATCTTTTGGATTGCTTTCATATGAAACTCTTTTTTTCTGGGCTGTTAATGTTGGCACGTAGATGTTTTCCATCAACCTTCTCCAGCAAATTTAAGTTATTCTGAAAAGGGAATTAAGTAAGGAAGATTTACTATGGCTTTAAAAAGTCAGTACTTGCAATGCAGAACCCCAAAGGAATGCTTTGTGATCCAAAATACAGTTGCATATGATTGTGTTGGCAATACCTACTTATTCTAAGCCTTTCCATGTTTCTTCCTAGGATATTAACATGGATTTAATCATCAGTTAAAACACCCAGCAAGACAAAACTTGCTTCTAAAAGTGGGTTGTTTGGAAGGGACATCAACTTATTTGTCTTGCATTTTTAGTGATATTTTCTGCAGCAATGATAATACAGGTTATATTGGTTTTGCTTCCTTTCCAATAGCAAGGGCAAAATTTGGAAGTGTTTCACACTGGTCTTGGATGAGCTATAACAGGATGGCTTGCTCCCATGTAGGCCTGCTATATTCATTGTTATTTCCAGTTAACTTCTTTATTTGACTGTTTGTCCTGCTGTCTCCCTGACTTTGTGTGTTGTTAACCTACAGGTGATTAGAGATAGTTGCAAGATGTCTCAAACTTTACCAGTCCTAAAGCTGAGTTAATGGAGGTATCTTACAGTTTTTCCAAATCTCTCTCAACAGGAATGCAGTGTGCCTGTACCATGGATGGATGACTCCGTCATTAAACCACAAACCAAAGCAGCTCTTACTTCCCAGAGTCTGGCATTCTCCTAGGGCTCAGATAGAGCCATTGCTGTGATGGTGCAGGCCAATGCTTGATGGTGGCAAGCTGAAGAAAAGCAGTGAGTCTTTATCCCGCTGTACAGATGTGCACTGATGTTGACCTGAGTAAGACCTGGCCTGCCAGCTGCAAGCCTGGCAAGGAACAGGAGGCGCTTCTGTGCAGGCACGTGCCTTGGCAGCAGTGGCACGTTTGAAGGGTGATGCTGCACTCCTGGTGTGGTGCAGGATGACCGCTAAGTTCAGGGGATTCTTGCAAGTCCCTGGCAAAATGAGGCTTTAGAGAGGCAGATGCATTTTAGTAATACTGGGCTCAAATTACTGTTTGTCTCAAATTTTTTGCCCATTACAAATAAAGAGTAGGTAGAGCCTCCTCTGTCGCTACTCACTCGAAGTACACAGAGCATAAACCCAGCCAGAGCAAGCCTGGGTCACTCGTGGTCTTCCCATGGTCACGGCTCCCAGAGCTGTCCCTGGCAGCAGTGCGGGGCTCCTGCACCAAGAACGCACTGAAATCCCAGAGCAGGACGAGGCCGGGGGATGTTCCCAGGAACGTGTTTATTTCTAATGACCTGCTGTGGCAGCTGCTGTATAACTTGCAAAGGAGGCTTTTTCTCATATGGAAATTATTGCTTTTCTTTTCTTTTTATCTTTCTAGTTAAAATAAAGCCATTGGAGATGTAAGCATACAGCTGGCTTCTGAATGAGAAAAGACGTACACCGTCTGCACACAGCTGAGTTCCTTGAAGCTGGCGGCTGCGGGCTCGGTGGTGCCAACCAAACACAGCCATGGGCTTTACTTGCTCTGGGACCGGCGTGTCACCGGCCTCAGCCTCCCAGCAGCGGAGCCGTCTGGGGTGTTTTGTGCCAACCCCAAATCCCTTTGGCAGGCCACAGCCAAGAATCTCACAGACTGCTGTCCCAAAGCTGCGGCAGGAGGTGGTCTTGCGTTTCCCAGGGAGGGCTGCTGCTGCAGCAGGCACTCACTGCCTTGAGCCCGCCTTGGCTGCTGGGCGATTCCTGGCAGAGGTGAATCATGAGTGGGGAGCTCCACGACTGCGGGGTGCATGCATGCACCAAAACAGTGCCTACAGCTTGCTGCCTCTGCCCCGCTCTCCTTTCCTGCCTCCTTTCCCCCAGGGTCCTAACTCCTGACTTTGTTGCTCTATAAACATAATAACAATAATTATTCTCTCATTGGACACGTAGCCATCTTCTTTGTTTGCAGGCTTAGATAAATATCATTCAAATCATGGAGTCTGATTCATGAGTCAGGACGATGGCAGTCCTCCAAAACCTCCTTGCCCATGGAGAGTGTGTTTGTGTGAGAGAGATAGAGAGTTTCACTGTATGAAGAGTAAGAAACTGGAAGCCAAGTGAATTAAATACAAAGCAGATAATTATGTGTAATTCATTTACTGACTAATGATTGCACCTGGTACGAAGTTTTTTGAATTCATTTGACTCTGCAGAGGTTCTCAAAAACATTCTCCCTGCTACACGATAAAAATATAGGCTGACATTTCTGAACAGACCAGTGTTTACATTAGTAGTATTGTAAGATTCTGTCTTTTTGGCTCATTCCTTATTTTATCTCACGATGTTTCATTTTTTTCTGGGTTCATCTCGTACCTCTTTTAAAGTGACTACTGCTCAGCCCTGGTAAAGAATGGGTGTCACTGGAGAGTGACGCCTTCAGTCTGCTTGTGACAGCTCTGTAAGGCATCAACGCTTTTCTTCCCTCCCCACCCCGGCAGCCGGGACTGCGCCAGGGAGGCCATGACCCAA